TCACGTCGGGTGTCACTGCTGGGCGAATGCTGTCGGGTGTGAATGCTGGCTGCCCGTCGTCGTCGCAGCCAACAACGGGGTGACAGCGACCTGATCGCTGAACGGACAGGCCTGCTTGCGCAGAGGAAGTAAGCGTGAACAGTGAGTCGCGTGCCGCGCCTGGGACGGAGGTGCACACAGAGACATTCAAGACTTTTTTTAAGTATACAGATGGCCTGATGATGAATTAATCGAAAACGTTCGTTCGCCTAACTTGACTTCCTGAATACTTACATGGGTATCATCGCTGACCTTAAATAAGTAACTACTTAATTCGTTGTATGTTCCATAAATGGTAAATGACTTTCAAAAAGATATTACCTCATTTCCCTCCTTTATTAATTAACGCATTTACTTAAATTCCGCTGTTGCTTTCTCGTTTTTTTAATCGTTTGCAAATCAACTGAGCGCAAAGGCTCACGGATACCACCGTTCACCTCCATGTGGGCCGACTTATTGTTGCCATTCATAAAGAATCTGTTTTCTACTTCCCCTGATATTCGCCACCCATATAACCCCTAATTCCACCGCTACCGCATTACACAACCCTGGAGTATTTTTGTTACTGTGGTGAATTCTATAAGGAGTCTGCGCCAACGACGATCTGAGGGCCATGGCGACTTTCAGTAGCGGCAATACAACTTTCATCGCAGGTAACCAAGGAGACTTGCTATTTTTAGATTACTTCTACGTTTGCAACCTTCGTAACGTGTCCCAAGTCACACCCCAGCTGCATGACCAAGTGAAATGTGGCGGCTAGTAAAAAGCAATCTGATAGCTAAAATACATTGATTTGTCAAAGAGCAGGCAGATATAATCTGGGGCAAGAATTTAGCTCTGACATTGGGAGGAGTAGTTAAAAATCTGTGAATTTCTGAGAAAGGCAAAGACATTGAGCAGAGTCTGGGTAGCACACGGATCCTCTTCAAACTTTTCCACGTCCTCCAGATGACCCGTGAGACGCCTTTCTAGTGCCTAGCGTTGAGAACAGAAATATAGGGCACAGAGTAAATGGGGCTTATGTGCAACAAGAAAGGTTATGTCGCATCAAGAAAGATGAGACTCACCTTAAGGGCAGCGTATTCGTCCTTCAGTTCCTCAATGTCAATAATGTCGGTGATCTGTCAATTTAAAAAAGTGAAATTGTAAATATTGAGATTACATATTACAAAAGAGATCCACAGCGCAGGTATATATATAGAGTGTATCCGACAAAGACCGGAATGGCTATTTCTGCCTTGTTAGCCGTCATCAGCCAGCCATACCCAACCTCAAGGGTTGGAACCCTCAAGATTGAGATTGGGTATGACTGGCTGATGACGGCTAACAAGGCAGAAATAGCCATTCCGGTCTTCGTCGGATACACTGAATCATATATCTGGGGTTGCTAAGCGCAGCCTGATATCACTCAAGTACGAGCCTCAAGGCCCTTCCCGGACAAGTATAGGCCTTAACCAGATAGATCAGTTGAACGCCCCAGTTACATATATATATATATATATATATATATATATTGATATGCCTAAAGTTCGGGGTCCAGATATCTTATCGAGTGTATCGTCTCCCAAAGAAGAGGAAGAAGAAGAAGGGGCGGGTTCGTGGACCAAATCGTATTTGGACTGACGTTTCAAAAGCACACTCGCTTCCATCGTCAGAGTATCG